ACAAACCAGCTTGACCCATAATTGCTTAACCACCTATGCCAGTGATTCCAGCCACAAACCGAGTCAGATACGCTGGATACCAAGTAATTGCCGTAGCCATACAAAATGTTTTCAGTCAGCAAAACACACATGAATATTACACAAATAAACAAAGGGGGAACCTTTGAGGCCGTTAAATATTATAAATTAATCAAGTAACAGAAAGTGTTTTGATCGGCACTCATAGAAAGAAGTATTATTACGATTATTAGATAAATGTCACCTACAATACCATGTAAATGTCACATAAAGTTTCATATAAAATGTTAATGTAATGTAAATTCTATATTTGCAAAATGTGTTGTTAGATGCTTAAATCTGATTGTTGATTGCCAAGTGTACACAGCAGCCTGCAAGTGAATAACTGCTGCAACTGGGCTATCCTGGTTAGGTGTGTGTGGTCAACCATTTCAACTGGGCTTGCCTGATTAAGTGTGTGTGGTCAACCATTTCAACTGGGCTTGCCTGGCTAGGTGTGTGTGGTCAACCATTTCAACTGGGCTTGCCTGGCTAGGTGTGTGTGGTCAACCATTTCAACTGGGCTTGCCTGGCTAGGTGTGTGTTGTCAACCATTTCAACTGAGTACAACACAACTAAGTTTCCAACACAGTATACATCCACAACATATTTGTCAACAGAACAGCAATGAAAACAAAACGATGACAACACTGATATTCAGTTTTGGTATAGAATACACGAATAAGACTAAATACAAGCCCAGACATGCTGATCTGCCAACAGAAAAAGCCATGCAATGTCACCTCCACCATCAAGGCATCATTCCTTTATTTCCTAACATAACTAAATGCTCACAGATGGTGGACTTGTCATGCAGTCTGTACACAAGTTTTACCTACACTACACTCTGTGTCTGGTTGTGTGCTCACAGATGGTGGACCTGTGATACAGTCTGTACACAAGTTTTACCTATACTACACTCTGTGTCTGGTTGTGTGCTCACAGATGGTGGACTTGTGATACAGTCTGTACATAAGTTTTACCTACACTACACTCTGTGTCTGGTTGTGTGCTCAAAGATGGTGGACTTGTGATGCAGTCTGTACACAAGTTTTACCTACACTACACTCTGTGTCTGGTTGTGTGCTCACAGATGGTGGACTTGTCATGCAGTCTGTACATAAGTTTCCCCTACACTACACTCTGTGTCTGGTTGTGTACTCACAGATGGTGGACTTGTCATGCAGTCTGTATACAAGTTTCCCCTACACTACACTCTGTGTCTGGTTGTGTACTCACAGATGGTGGACTTGTCATGCAGTCTGTATACAAGTTTCCCCTACACTACACTCTGTGTCTGGTTGTGTGCTCACAGATGGTGGACTTGTCATGCAGTCTGTATACAAGTTTTACCTACACTACACTCTGTGTCTGGTTGTGTACTCACAGATGGTGGACTTGTCATGCAGTCTGTATACAAGTTTTACCTACACTACATTCTGTGTCTGGTTGTGTACTCACAGATGGTGGACTTGTCATGCAGTCTGTATACAAGTTTTACCTACACTACATTCTGTGTCTGGTTGTGTACTCACAGATGGTGGACTTGTCATGCAGTCTGTATACAAGTTTTACCTACACTACATTCTGTGTCTGGTTGTGTACTCACAGATGGTGGACTTGTCATGCAGTCTGTATACAAGTTTTACCTACACTACATTCTGTGTCTGGTTGTGTGCTCACAGATGGTGGACTTGTCATGCAGTCTGTATACAAGTTTTACCTACACTACATTCTGTGTCTGGTTGTGTACTCACAGATGGTGGACTTGTCATGCAGTCTGTATACAAGTTTTACCTACACTACACTCTGTGTCTGGTTGTGTGCTCACAGATGGTGAACTTGTCATGCAGTCTGTACACAAGTTTTACCTACACTACATTCTGTGTCTGGTTGTGTGCTCACAGATGGTGGACTTGTGATGCAGTAATACATAAGTTTCCCCTACACTACACTCTGTGTCTGGTTGTGTGCTCACAGATGGTGGACCTTTGATGCAGTCCGTACACAAGTTTTACCTACACTCTACTCTGTGTCTGGTTGTGTGCTCACAGATGGTGGACTTGTCATGCAGTCTGTATACAAGATTTACCTACACTACATTCTGTGTCTGGTTGTGTGCTCACAGATGGTGGACTTGTCATGCAGTCTGTACACAAGTTTTACCTACACTACACTCTGTGTCTGGTTGCGTGCTCACAGATTTTGGACTTGTCATGCAGTCTGTACATAAGTTTCCCCTACACTACACTCTGTGTCTGGTTGTGTGCTCACAGATGGTGGACTTGTCATGCAGTCTGTATACAAGATTTACCTACACTACATTCTGTGTCTGGTTGTGTGCTCACAGATGGTGGACTTGTCATGCAGTCTGTACATAGGTTTCCCCTACACTACACTCTGTGTCTGGTTGTGTGCTCACAGATGGTGGACTTGTCATGCAGTCTGTATACAAGATTTACCTACACTACATTCTGTGTCTGGTTGTGTGGTCACAGATGGTGGAGTTTTCAAGCAGTCTGTATACAAGATTTACCTACACTACATTCTGTGTCTGGTTGTGTGCTCACAGATGGTGGACTTGTCATGCAGTCTGTACACAAGTTTTACCTACACTACACTCTGTGTCTGGTTGTGTGCTCACAGATGGTGGACTTGTCATGCAGTCTGTACATAAGTTTGACCTACACTACACTCTGTGTCTGGTTGTGTGCTCACAGATGGTGAACTTGTCATGCAGTCTGTACATAAGTTTTACCTACACTACACTCTGTGTCTGGTTGTGTGCTCACAGATGGTGGACTTGTCTTGCAGCCTGTACACAAATTTTACCTACACTACATTCTGTGTCTGGTTGTGTGCTCACAGATGGTGGACTTGTGATGCAGTAATACATAAGTTTCCCCTACACTACACTCTGTGTCTGGTTGTGTGCTCACAGATGGTGGACCTTTGATGCAGTCCGTATACAAGTTTTACCTACACTCTACTCTGTGTCTGGTTGTGTGCTCACAGATGGTGGACTTGTCATGCAGTCTGTATACAAGATTTACCTACACTACATTCTGTGTCTGGTTGTGTGGTCACAGATGGTGGAGTTTTCAAGCAGTCTGTATACAAGATTTACCTACACTACATTCTGTGTCTGGTTGTGTGCTCACAGATGGTGGACTTGTCATGCAGTCTGTACACAAGTTTTACCTACACTACACACTGTGTCTGGTTGCGTGCTCACAGATGGTGGACTTGTCATGCAGTCTGTACATAAGTTTCCCCTACACTACACTCTGTGTCTGGTTGTGTGCTCACAGATGGTGGACTTGTCATGCAGTCTGTACATAAGTTTCCCCTACACTACACTCTGTGTCTGGTTGTGTGCTCACAGATGGTGGACTTGTCATGCAGTCTGTACACAAGTTTTACCTACACTACATTCTGTGTCTGATTGTGTGCTCACAGATGGTGGACTTGTGATGCAGTCTGTACATAAGTTTCCCCTACACTACACTCTGTGTCTGGTTGTGTGCTCACAGATGGTGGACTTGTGATGCAGTCCGTACACAAGTTTCCCCTACACTACACTCTGTGTCTGGTTGTGTGCTCACAGATGGTGGACCTGTGATGCAGTCCGTACACAAGTTTTACCTACACTACACTCTGTGTCTGGTTGTGTGCTCACAGATGGTGGACTTGTCATGCAGTCTGTATACAAGATTTACCTACACTACACTCTGTGTCTGGTTGTCTGCTCACAGATGGTGGAGTTTTCATGCAGTCCGTACACACATTTCACCTACACTATACTGTGTCTGGCTGTGTGCTCACACACAGTGGACTTGTGATGCAGTCTGTACACAAGTTTCCCCTACACCCCATACCATGCTTGGCTGTGTGCTCACAGACAGTGGACTGATCATGCAGCCTGTACACAAGCTTCCCCTACACCATATACTGTGTCTGGCCGTGTGTACAGAGACAGTGGACTTATCATGCAGCCTGTATACAACATGCCAACAGAGAGGTGCAACTAAAGCGGCTGAGAGAGATCACCATGGGGAAGCGCTGGAGCCCCTAAGCCAAGTCTATGTGGTGTTAATAAACTGGCTACAATATAAACTGGGATATCATATCTATGTTTACATCTGTGTCCCTGATGCAGGAAAGTCCCTGTAACAGCAACAACAACACATTCATATTTCTCATATTATTTCAATCTCTCTCTCTCTCTCTCTCTCTCTCTCTCTCTCTCTCTCTCTCTCTCTCTCTCTCTCTCTCTCTCTCTCTCTCTCTCTCTCTCTCTCTCTCTCTCTCTCTCTCTCTCACAAACACGCACACACATAAACATGCACATAAACAAACACACACACACACACAGAGAATTCAACTTCTGGTTATTCTCCCTGCCACTATGTGATCTCATACAGCAGTTATGTTATGTTACCACAATGATTGTCACTGCACACCAGTGATTCCCAAGCCTAGTCAGTCCTCTGATGCAGCAGCCACTCCAAGGTACCTCTACTCACTGTCCCCATAAAATGCTGGTTACAATCCAGAAATGCCATCCTCTGTCTCTAGTTCCTGGACCCACTTGTCACTACAGCTCTATCCATCCCCCCCCCCCCCCCTGGCTCCCCTTTGCTATGACTTTAAATGACCATCTTCTCCTGATGTGAGCTGCCAAATGTCTCTTGGAGCTGGGTTCTTGCAGTATTTCAATGCTGATCTTGTCAGTACTCAATGATATTCTCAGACAGAAACCAAATCTCCAGAAACGGCTCTCTCTCTCTCTCTCTCTCTCTCTCTCTCTCTCGCACCCTCTCCCTCACTCTCACTCTCTCTGTGTATATTAAGTGACCAGGGTTCTTTGTATACATAAGTGTGGACAGCACACAGATCTGAAAGTCTGTTTTCTGGCTATTATAGATAATGACCAATGAGACAACAGGTCCCAAAATATGGTATATAGATATGTCTCTGTCTGTCAGTCAGCCCAGATCACTGAGAGGGAGCATGGAGGGGACTGTTGGCATCAGTAGTAGATGTAGGTCAGTAGCACAGTGGGACAGTGGCGGTGAGACGGCCTGCTCATTCCAACACTGATGAAACTCATCTATGTCTCCAATGACAGTCTCAGCCGAGTCATCTCCCTTGTCCAGCACCAACACCCAGCAGCTATGTGTGTGTAACTATGTCAAACACCATGAGTTCTTTACCAATCTTAATCACAATAACATTGATAATGACCAACTATTGTTCTGGCAAGATGTTATGAATGCATAAATGTGTAAAATAGAAGAATCACACACAGCCAAGGTGACAATATGTTGAACATGCCAACTGATGGGGAGGCCAGAGCATGTCAGCACATCAAGAAGCTTGACCAGAAACCCACAACACAAACACAAGATGGCAGGGGCACGGACACTGCAGGGGAAATCACTGCTATCATCAAACAACAGTGTGTGAATCAAATCTGACTAATGCTGAAGGCTGGTAACCATGGACCAGATAGTCTGGTGGCTTTACATGCCGCAAAGACCCCCTGCGTGTGCATGTTGTGTGTGTGTGCGCTCGCACGTATCTGTGTGTGTGAAACAACTGAGCAGATTTTTGCTGAGGTGTTTGAAACTCCTGCAGTGTGTTGACATAAATGCAGTGTCTAACTTCATAAATGACACACTACACCTGTGGCAGAAGTGTGACTATGTCAACATCTAAGGGCTAGATTCAGATCTAGCAGCTACACAGTTTGAATATTTCACTTGATAAGTGGATGAGACAACATCTATTTCTTGCTGCTGTCTGTTCTCTACTTTTAGGCAAATATATTACATGTAAATGAACTCATTGGTGTTTCTAGATGAATGAATTCTGATGTCATTTTTGTTGTGCTCTGGTATCATAACATGGACAAAAACTGGAGACATCAGATATCTCAATGGTGCCGGAGAAGAGGTGGGGGGGGGGGGGGGGGGGTGCATGGGAGAGGAACTGTGGGCATAAGCTGGCTACAGACAGACAGTCCTACCTAGAATCAACAAAAGATGCCAGCAGACAGCACAGCAAACTGACAGTATAGCAAAATTACAGATAACACAGCAACCTAGCAGACAGCACAGCAATCTAGCAGACAGCACAGCAAACTAATAGATGTCACAATAAATGGACAAGCTCATGGAAAGTTTTCTTACCAGCCAGCGACTACCTTCTGGGGACTGTTGGGATACAGAGACAACAAAACACATGTAGGCACACAACCATACAGAAGTAAACGCGTGTAGGCACAGACAGATGCAGACGTATACACGTGTAGGCTAATACATGTCCACCTCTGAACTCGTTGCCGGAAGAATGAATTCTCTGAGTTACAACTGGGAACTAACAGTAACTTGATTTTACATACAGATTCTGCGTATGTGGGTGTTTTTACCGGCAGCAACAAGAACATGGACACATGTAGCTGCAGTTGTGTATATGGACCACCGTAGATATGGTCAGTGTACACTCTGATGCAGCTACTGTGCCCACTTCTAGTGGAGCAAACCAAAAAGGGGGATCATGAATGTTTCTGATGTAGATTATTATTTACGCACTCATATATCTCTAGCCATGTTCTCAAAATCAGAGAACCAACAGCCGTTACAATCAACTTGAGAGAACTAACAGCTGTCACAATCAACTTTAGAGAACCAACAGCTGTCACAATCAACTTTAGAGAACCAACAGCTGTCACAATAAACTTTAGAGAACCAACAGCTGTCACAATCAACTTTAGAGAACCAATAGCTGTCAAAATCAAGGTTGGACAACCAACAACTGTCACAATCAAATTAGGAATAGTCCGTACAGACCCAGAGATGTGCCTCAACTGATCTCAAACTCTCTCTCTTCATTAGCCATAGCTCTCCTGTATACATGGAATCTCTTTCCATCAGGACCAAGTTAACAGAAAACAAAACAGTCTAAAAGAAATACAGCTTTTCTGACTAATTCTTCACTGGTTATGCCCGATGTTTTTTAAGACTTCCTCGGTCAGAATAGTCTAGAGACTAGTTATAACTTTACATCTAGTTATTGAATCAGAGTCTAGAGACTAGCCATAACTTTACATCTAGTTCCTGAGTCAGAGTCTAGAGACTAGCCATAACTTTACATCTAGTTCCTCAATCAGAGTCTAGAGACTAGCCATAACTTTACATCTAGTTCCTGAATCAGAGTCTAGAGACTAGCCATAACTTCACATCTAGTTCCTCAATCAGAGTCTAGAGACTAGCTATAACTTTATGTCTAGTTCCTGAGTCAGAGTAGAGTCTAGAGACTAGCTATAACTTTATGTCTGGTTCCTGAGTCAGAGTAGAGTCTAGAGACTAGCTATAACTTTATGTCTAGTTCCTGAGTCACAGTAGAGTCTAGAGACTAGCTATAACTTTATGCCTAGTTCCTGGGTCACAGTAGAGTCTAGAGACTAGCTATGACTTTATGTCTAGTTGCTGGGTCACAGTAGAGTCTAGAGACTTGGAATAACTTTATGTCTAGTTCCTGGGTCACAGTAGAGTCTAGAGACTAGGTATAACTTTATGTCTAGTTCCTGGGTCACAGCAGAGTCTAGAGACTAGCTATAACTTTATGTCTAGTTCCTGGGTCACAGCAGAGTCTAGAGACTAGATATAACTGTATGTCTAGTTCCTGGATCACAGTAGAGTCTAGAGACTAGCTATAATTTTATGTCTAGTTCCTGGGTCACAGTAAAGTCTAGAGACTAGCTATAACTTTATGTCTAGTTCCTGGGTCACAGTAGAGTCTAGAGACTAGGTATAACTTTATGTCTAGTTCCTGGGTCACAGTAGAGTCAAGAAACTAGCTATAACTTTATGTCTAGTTCCTTGGTCACAGCAGTCTAGAGACTAGGTCATATGAAAAATGGTGTTGAAAAATATGGTGTGACACTCATCAAAACCTTGTACCTAACACACGATAATGATGACAGGAATTACTACTTTCTGAAGAAAAGTCATTGTAAAATATTACACAAAATCAGACAAATGAAATATAACAGTAATATACACATCTACAATGACTACAAATAAGTAAAAGATTCTAGTCATGTGAAGCACAACAAATAACAAATCTTCAAGTTTCAAGATACCAAATGCAACAAGAACAAGGATTCACTCACCTTTTTAGAACCAGCTGAATCATCCTGTGGAGAAAACAAATTAACACACGAACATGTTGAAATGCTGGATGTGTCATATCTAGCCATGCTTTATTTAGAGAGAGGGAGGGAAAAGAGAGAGGCATGCTTGCACCCCCCCCCCCTCTACACACACACACACACACACACAGAAATATGTGGGGGAGGGGGAGACAGAGAGACTTGTGATGCCCAGATTGTTCCCTCATCACCAAATCTCTCCCCCCCCCCCCCCCCCATTATCTGAGCTTAGCTTCACTGAGATGACCAGGTGTCATTGGATCCCAGATATGTACATCAGTACCCTGCTGGACTCCATCAGTAGAGCAACAGTGTGCCAGCCTCATGCCCACCATTGTTTGCTATCACAGACTCTTCCACACATTCTCATCAGTAGAGTAACAGTGTGCCAGCCTCATGCCCACCATTGTTTGCTATCACAGACTCTTCCACACATTCTCATCAGTAGAGTAACAGTGTGCCAGCCTCATGCCCACCATTGTTTGCTATCACAGACTCTTCCACACATTCTCATCAGTAGCGTAACTGTGCCAGCTTCATGCCCACCATTGTTTGCTATCACAGACTCTTCCACACATTCTCATCAGTAGAGCAACTGTGCCAGCCTCATGCCCACCATTGTTTGCTATCACAGACTCTTCCACACATTCTCATCAGTAGAGCAACTGTGTGCCAGCTTCATGCCCACTATTGTATGCTATCACAGACTCTTCCACACATTCTCATCAGTAGAGCAACAGTGTGCCAGCTTCATGCCCAATATTGTTTGCTATCACAGACTCTTCCACACATTCTCATCAGTAGAGTAACTGTGCCAGCCTCATGCCCACCATTGTTTGCTATCACAGACTCTTCCACACATTCTCATCAGTAGAGCAACAGTGTGCCAGCCTCATGCCCACCATTGTTTGCTATCACAGACTCTTCCACACATTCCTATCTTCAACTGAAACTTGTGTATTAAAATGATCAATGCCAGTTCATGAGTGTCACAACCCTGTGAGTACAGTCAGTGGCGGAATGGACCACAAGTAGGGTGTGCGTGTTGAGGTGACACCCCAGGGTTGACACAAAGGTCAGGGCCGTGACTGGTCAAGTCTGTTCTGTTATTGCACGGTGAAACCAGCGCTCAGGATAAACCGCTTGGCTACGACAAGAAAGGGTGAACTCTGTTGCAGACAAGTTCGCAACACGATTACCCCTTTGGGGGACTGAGCTGTTGAACGGGTCAAGAGACACGAGGTGGAAGGACAGAGGACATTCGGTGGGCGATGGTCAGACGAAGCAGACGTGTAGCGAGACAGTGATAGTATATTAGAGTTAGGATATTTGTTTAGTCACTGCATAGATTACTTACAGTTTAGGATATTTGTTTAGTGACTGCATAGATTACTTACAGTTTAGGATATTTGTTTAGTGACTGCATAGATTACTTACAGTGTTCTGTTAGAATAGGATAGTCTTTTGTGCTGTGTATTTAACTGAGACAAGGTATTGTATTGTGCCATAAGAGGTAAATAGGTTCCAGTTACTCCTGACCAGTTAAATCGTTCAGGTGCATGTTCTGTGAGAGAATGTCTAGCCTTGTTATACTGATCCTGCACTAGACAGAGGTGGTGACGTCTGGTAGGTCAGCGTGGCAATAGAAAAGAACGTATCTCGCCGTGCTGTGGTTTGTACACCAGGAGATTGCCTGTAGCACGTACTGGGGAACGAGGCGATTTTAAAGCCCGTTCGGCCAGAGGGTCCAGGCAATAGGTGGCCACACAGCGGGAAGTCAACTGTCTATTGTATTACCTGTACTTGCAATAAAGATTGTCGTGTGTGCTCTGTGTGCGTTAGGGTTCAGTGTGTGTCAAAGGTTAGTTTATCTGTCATAGGCCCAGTTACAAGCCACGGACCAGCAAGGTCATCCAGAGGTCTGTGACAATGAGTCAAAGTCCAGCTGTAGCCAACATTTCTTAGATTATCACTAAACTCAAATGTCCTGCTATACAGTGCATGGTGTGCACATGTTCTGGTACAAGTGCATGAGGTGCAGATGTCCCTACAAGTGTATGACGAGCACATATCCTGGTTTACAGTGCATGATGGGCATATATCCTGGTTTACAGTGTATGACGAGCACATATCCTGGTTTACAGTGCATGATGGGCATATATCCTGGTTTACAGTGCATGATGGGCATATATCCTGGTTTACAGTGCATGATGTGCATATATCCTGATTTACAGTGCATGCTGAGCACATATCCTGGTTTACAGTGCATGAAGTGTACATATCTGGTTTACAGTGCATGCTGAGCACATATCCTGGTTTACAGTGCATGATGTGCACATATCCTGGTTTACAGTGCATGCTGAGCACATATCCTGGTTTACAGTGCATGATGTGCACATATCCTGGTTTACAGTGCATGCTGAGCACATATCCTAGTTTACAGTGCATGATGTGCACATATCCTGGTTTACAGTGCATGATGTGCACATATCTTGGTTTACAGTGCATGATGGGCATATATCCTGGTTTACAGTGCATGCTGAGCACATATCCTAGTTTACAGTGCATGATGTGCACATATCCTGGTTTACAGTGCATGATGTGCACATATCCTGGTTTACAGTGCATGATGTACACATATCCTGGGTTACAGTGCATGATGTGTATATATCCTGGTTTATGGTGCATGCTGTGCATATATCCTAGTTTACAGTGCATGATGTGCACATATCCTGGTTTACAGTGCATGATGTGCACATATCCTGGTTTACAGTGCATGATGTGTACATATCCTGGTTTACAGTGCATGATGTGCACATATCCTGGTTTATGGTGCATGATGTGCACATATCCTAGTTTACAGTGCATGATGTGCACATATCCTGGGTTACAGTGTATGATGTGCACATATCCTTGAAGACTGAACAATGATAATTTATGAACTGCTGATTTCTGCAGAGATGTCTAATGAGCAATGACAACACTGAAACAATTGAACTCCTAAAACAAAACAACAACTGCTCACCTCGGAATTACTGTAGTTAATTATGAACACTTTGCCTTCATAAGCAAGTCTTTTAATCTGGTTCCTGCAATATGAATGTTAAAAAACAGTGTGAAAGAAACAAAAACTAGGTTCAAAACTCAATCAAGCCCAACATTATACATCTGGTTTATCCTAGACAAATGTTGTGTGTGTCTGAGATCATGTCACTCGTGTACTGTTATCACTGGTGATAATGTACACAAGGATTCCGCAAACAAGTTTAACAAAAACATGGACAATACAATCAATCAACACTGATCAAACAGTCTCAATCTAGAGAACAATGAAATAGGAATGTAGGGGGGTCAGAAAATATCAACATTAACATTGAGGCACAACATTAACACCACACTGTGATACACATGACTTCTGATACTGACCACTTAAAGAGCTGGGTGCGTCTGTTGCCACGGAATGTCATAACCCCCAGGTGTGTCACTCCCAGGTACAGCGGGTCCCCTTTCTGATCCTGAAAACACAAGATCTTACTCTAGTTACATCATGAGCAAGTCTGGCATTCTGACATCCGTATCATCACAAATTTGGAACATTAGAGCTATGTCTGACATATGCTTAATCACAATGTGAAAGCTTAAAGCAAAGTCTGGTAGTATGGCATCTGTATTATCACAATGTGGGAGCGCAGAGCAATGTCTGGTAGTCTGACAGCTGTATCATCACAACATGGGACTTCAGAGCAATGTCTGGTTGTCTGACACTGTATCATCACAGCTTGGGACTTCAGAGCAATGTCTGGTTGTCTGTATCAGTATCATCACAATGTGGAACCTTAAAGCAATGTCTGACATCTGTATCATCACAGCGTGGGACTTCAAAGCAATGTCTTGTAGTCTGACATCTGTATCATCACAACATGGGACTTCAGAGCAATGTCTGGTTGTCTGACATCTGTATCATCACAAAGTGGGACTTGAGAGTAATGTCTGGTAGTCTGACATCTGTATCATCACAATGTGGGACTTAAGAACAATGTCCGGTTGTCTGACAGCTGTATCATCACAATGTGGGACTTCAGAACAATGTCTGGTTGTCTGACATCTGTATCATCACAATGTGGGACTTCAGAGTAATGTCTGGTAGTTTGACAACTGTATCATCACAACGTGGGACTTCAGAGCAATGTCTGGTTGTCTGACATCTGTATCATCACAAAGTGGGACTTGAGAGTAATATCTGGTAGTCTGACATCTGTATCATCACAACGTGGGACTTGAGAGCAATGTCTGGTAGTCTGACATTTGAATCATCACAACATGGGACTTCAGAGCAATGTCTGGTTGTCTGACATTTGTATCATCACACCACCCTGCCCCAATATCTGCTGCTTAGAGTTTTTTGTTTTACAGGAAATGACTGAACTGGAGGTTGTGATCTGACATTGTTGTGCCTATACGACTGAACAGATCTCAGAAATAAACTCCCAGCAAACCAGACAAGAGCCAAAAGAAGGAGTTCTACCACAAACTGTAAGCACTGACCTTGAGAGATGTTCTTAAATACATAAAGGCCAACAGGCATTTATTGATACTGTTAAAGCTAATGTGAAGGAGTTCTTATTGCGGACTGCAGGCAATGACCTAGCCAGTTATTCCTACATATACAGGGGTCAACAGGCAATGACCTAGCCAGTTATTCCTACATATACAGGGGTCAGCAGGCAATGACCTAGCCAGTTATTCCTACATATACAGAAATTAATGAGAGTGTTGACATGATCTCATACATCTCATCGGCACCAGCCTCTCAGCGGCAGAAAGGTGCGATGAGACAATCTGCAGAGTTGGCTAGATTCATTAGGTGAAATGATCAGTTGCTTTTCTCACAGCATTAGTGACCTTTAAACAACAGCAAGGACAGAGACCCATGTTTACAGCTCTGACACCACTAGAGGCAATACAAACACATGCGGCTACTCACCTTGACTTGGTGTGGGTCAACACCGTACGTATCCATGCTGGCCGCCTTTTTGAGGAAGCTGGCCTCACACTCCGAGGGTACTTTACCACTGTCAGGACATACAGAGACACAGGCATGCTTGCATCAGTCTAGCTGACCATCACACACATTGAGTCTATTCATCAAGTGTTCATCATCATCAAGTGCTCACAGATAGTCGTTTACTTCATACGTGCAATGTTTATGAAGATCAGTGGGGAACCTTGCTGGAACTATAGAGTTCATGCCTGGTGCAATGTTTATGAAGATCAGTGGGGAACCTTGCTGGAACTATAGAGTTCATGCCTGGTGCAATGTTTATGAAGATCAGTGGGGAACCTTGCTGGAACTATAGAGTTCATGCCTGGTGCAATGTTTATGAAGATCAGTGGGGAACCTTGCCGGAACTATGGAGTTCATGCCTGGTGCAATGTGTATGAAGATCAGTGGGGAACGTTGCTGGAACTATAGAGTTCATGCCTGGTGCAGTGCACTCGGCTGTTGGCTGGCCATTCACAGATAGACAGGCAACAATGAATAGTTCTATCAGGTACAATTCTGAAGTGCAAAACAGGTCTGCATATCTGACCAGTCTGATGCATAATGAAAAAGATCTACTGCATTATCTTAGCATCTACTTTTAACCAGGTTCTGTCCTCATGAAAAACAAAACTGTTGAAAAAATCAAGATTCAAAGCAATGTTTCCTAATTCTAAATTTGAATAAAGAAGAGAGATAAATGTGGTATTGTATCTCCGTGTGGCACAACTGTGGTATGTTCTTGTATGGGATAACTGTGGTGTGGTATCTCCATGTGGCACAAATGTAGTGTGTTCTTGTGTTGGATAACTGTGGTGTGGTATCTCCATGTGGCACAACTGTAGTGTGTTCTTGTCTTGAGTAACTGTGGTGTGGTATCTCCATGTGGCACAAATGTGGTGTCTTCTTGTATGGGATAACTGTTGTGTGGTATCTCCATGTGGCACAACTGTGCTATGTTCTTGAGTGGAATAACTGGTGTGTGTTCTTGTCTTGGATAACTGTGGTGTAGTATCTCCATGTGGCACAACTGTAGTGTGTTCTTGTCTTGGATAACTGTGGTGTGGTATCTCCATGTGGCACAACTGTAGTGTGTGCTTGTCTTGGATAACTGTGGTGTGGTATCTCCATGTGGCACAACTGTAGTGTGTCCTTGTCTTGGATAACTGTGGTGTGGTATTTCCATGTGGCACAACTATAGTGTTTTCTTGTCTTGGATAACTGTGGTGTAGTATCTCCATATGGCACGACTGTAGTGTGATATCTCCATGTGGCACAACTGTAGTGTGTTCTTGTGTTGGATAACTGTGGTGTAGTATCTCCATGTGGGATAACTGTAGTGTGTTTTTGTGTTGGATAACTGTGGTGTAGTATCTCCATGTGGGACAACTGTTGTGTGTTCTTGTCTTGGATAACTGTGGTGTGGTACCTCCATGTGGCACAACTGTAGCGTGTTCTTGTGTTGGGTAACTGTGGTGTGGTATCTCCATGTGGCACGACTGTAGTGTGATATCTCCATGTGGCACAACTGTATTGTGTTCTTGTGCTGGATAACTGTAGTGTAGTATCTTCATGTGGCACAACTGTAGTGTGTTCTTGTGTTGGATAACTGTAGTGTGGTATCTCCATGTGGCACAACTATAGTGTGTTCTTGTGTTGGATAACTGTGGTGTGGTATCTCCATGTGGCAAAACTCTAGTGTGTTCTTGTGTTGGATAACTGTGGTGTAGTATCTCCATGTGGCACAACTGTAGTGTGTTCTTGTGTTGGATAACTGTGGTGTGGTATCTCCATGAAGCACAACTGTAGTGTGTTCTTGTCTTGGATAACTGTGGTGTGATATCTCCATGTGGCCCAACTGTAGTGTGTTCTTGTGCTGGATAACTGTGGTGTAGTATCTCCATGTTGGATAACTGTGGTGCGGTATCTCCATGTGGCACAACTTAGGTGTGGTATCACCATGTGGGATAACTGTGGTAAGGTATCTCAATGTGGAATAACTGTGGTGTGTTCTTGTGTGGGATAACTGCCGTGTGTTCTTGTGTGGGATAACTGTGGTGTGATATCTCCATGTGGCACAACTATGGTTTATTGTGTGGGATAACTGTGGTGTGATATCTCCATGTGGCACAACTGTGGTTTCTTGTGTGGGATAACTAAGGTTTGGTATCTCCATATGGCACAACTGTGGTTTCTTGTGTGGGAAACTGTGGTGTGGTATCTCAATGTGTCACAATTGTGGTTTCTTGTGTGGGATAACTGTGGTGAGGTATCTCTGTGTGCCACAACTGTGGTAGGTGCTTGTGTGGGATAACTGTGGTGTGGTATCTTAATGTGGAATAACTGTGGTGTGTTCTTGTGTGGGATAACTGTGGTGTGTTATTGTGTGGGATAACTGCGGTGTGTTCTTGTGTGGGATAACTGTGGTGTGTTCTTGTGTAGGATAGTGGAATAACTGTATGGGATAACTGTGGTGTGCTCTTGTGTGGGATAATAGAATAACTGTGGTGTGTTCTTGTGTGAGATAACTGTGGTGTGTTCTTGTGTGGGAGAATGGAATAACTGTGGTGTGTTCTTGTGTGCGATAATGGAATAACTGTGGTGTGTTCTTGTGTGGGATCATGGAATAACTGTGGTGTGTTCTTGTTTGGGATAATGGAAGAACTGTGGTGTGTTCTTGTGTGGGATCATGGAATAACTGTGGTGTGTTCTTGTTTGGGATAATGGAAGAACTGTGGTGTGTTCTTGTGTGGGATCATGGAATAACTGTGGTGTGTTCTTGTGTTGGATAATAGAATAACTGCGGCGTGCTCTTGTGTGGGATAACTGCAGTGTGCTCTTGTGTGGGATAACTGTGGTGTGCTCTTGTGTGGGATAACTGTGGTGTGCTCATGTGTGGGATAACTGTGGTGTGCTCTTGTGTGGGATAACTGTGGTGTGCTCTTGTGTGAGATAACTGTGGTGTGCTCTTGTGTGGGATAACTGTGGTATGCTCTTATGTGGGATAATGGAATAACTGTGGTGTGTTCTTGTGTGGGACAATGGAATAACTGTGGTGTGTTTTTGTGTAGGATAATGGAATAACTGTGGTGTGTTCTTGTGTGGGATAATGGAATAACTGCCGTGTGCTCTTGTGTGCGATAATGGAATAACTGTGGTGTGCTCTTGTGTGGGATAACTGTGGTGTGCTCTTGTGTGGGATAACTGTGGTGTGCTCTTGTGTGGGATAACTGTGGTGTGCTCTTGTGTGGAATAATGGAATAACTGTGGTGTGTTCTTGTGTGAGATAATGGAATAACTGTGGTGTGTTCTTGTGTGAGATAATGGAATAACTGTGGTGTGTTCTTGAGTGGGATAATGGAATAACTGTGGTGTGTTCTTGAGTGGGATAATGGAATAACTGTGGTGTGCTCTTGTGTGGGATAATGGAAAACCTGTGATGTGCTCTTGTGTGGGATAATCGAATAACTGTGATGTGCTCTTGTGTGGGATAATGGAATAACTGTGATGTGCTCTTGTGTAGGAAAACTGAGGTGTGCTCTTGTGCAGGATAATGGAATAACTGTGATGTGCTCTTGTGTGGGATAACTGCGGTGCACTCTTGTGTGGAATAACTGTGGTGTGCTCTTGTGTGGAATAACTGTGGTGTGTTCTTGTGTGGGATAATGGAATAACTGTGGTGTGCTCTTGTGTGGGATAACTGCGGTGTGCTATTGTGTGGAATAACTGTGATGTGCTCTTGTGTGGGATAACTGTGATGTGCTCTTGTGTGGGATAACTGTGGTGTGCTCTTGTGTGGAATAACTGTGGTGGGTTCTTGTGTGGAATAATGGAATAACTGTGGTGTGCTCTTGTGTGGGATAATGAAATAACTGCGGTGTGTTCTTGTTTGGGATTACTGTGGTGTGTTCTTGTGTGAGATAATGGAATAACTGCGGTGTGTTCTTGTTTGGGATAACTGTGGTGTGTTTACAAGGTTCTCTACATAAAGTCTAATAGAAAGAATGAAAAATGCAATAAGAGATGGCCTCTGGTTATGCATAAGCAAATACTGTACCAGGTGTACAATAAGAAGCTAATACTGTACCAGGTGTACAATGAGAAGCAAATACTGTACCAGGTGTACAATGAGAAGCTAATACTGTACCAGGTGTACAATGAGAAGCTAATACTGTACCAGGTGTACAATGAGAAGCTAATACTGTACCAGGTGTACAATGAGAAGCAAATACTGTACCAGGTGTACAATGAGAAGCAAATACTGTACTAGGTGTACAATGAGAAGCTAATACTGTACCAGGTGTACAATGAGAAGCTAATACTGTATCCTCTCAAGGCACAGATAAAGAGAGAGATCAGAGAGATCAACAGAGACAGAAATCAGAGAGAGAGACATAGAGAAGGGAGAGAAAGAAGGGGAGAGAAAGAAGGGGAGAGAGAGAAGGACACACAAACACACACAGAGATAACAGGCTTACGCCAAGGCCTTGTGTGCTTCAGTGATCTTCTCCTCCAACCTAGGAGTCTGTTTGGGTAACATCTTGAAGCTGGACACGTAACCAATGGGATGATCTTGCGGGTCATAGTCCCCAACCTCCGCTACAAGCATGCACCACAGAGACATACAGAAAAACATTGAAACACCAGTGATGAAACAAATATAATTATCATTGGAGATATTGTCAAAAATGGCTACATTATAACCATTTTCTAGTTCTATGTGGGCAATCATTCTTTTTCCCAACTTCCCTGCCCTATCTACGAACACATCAGCTGACATCCTCCAGATTCATGTGTTACAGCTGACATCCTTCAACATCATGTGTTACAGCTGACATCCTTCAATATCATGTGTTAAAGCTGACATCCTTCAATATCATGTGTTACAGCTGACATCCTTCAATATCATGTGTTACAGTTGACATCCTTCAATAATGTGTTACAGCTGACATCCTTCAATATCATGTGTTACAGCTGACATCCTTCAATATCATGTGTTACAGCTGACATCCTTCAATAATGTGTTACAGCTGACATCCTTCAATATCATGTGTTACAGCTGACATCCTTCAATATCATGTGTTAAAGTTGACATCCTTCAATATGATGTGTTACAGCTGACATCCTTCAATATCACATGATACAGCTGACATTCTTCAATATCATGTGTTACAGCTGACATCCTTCAATATCATGTGTTACAGCTGACATTCTTCAATATCACATGTTACAGCTGACATCCTTCAATATCATGTGTTACAGCTGACATCCTCCAATATCATGTGTTACAGCTGACATCCTTCAATATCATGTGATACAGCTGACGTCCTTCAACATCATGTGTTACAGCTGACATCCTTCAATATCATGTGTTACAGCTGACATCCTCCAATGCCATATGTTACAGCTGACATCCTCTAGTATCATGTGTTACAGCTGACATCCTCCAATGCCATGTGTTACAGCTGACATCCTCCAATGATATATGTTACAGCTGACATCCTCTAGTATCATGTGTTACAGCTGACATCCTCCAATGCCATGTGTTACAGCTGACATCCTCCAATGCCATATGTTACAGCTGACATCCTCCAATGCCATATGTTACAGCTGACATCCTCTAGTATCATGTGTTACAGCTGACATCCTCCAATGCCATGTGTTACAGCTGACATCCTCCAATGCCATATGTTACAGCTGACATCCTCCAATGCCATATGTTACAGCTGACATCCTTCAATATCATGTGTTACAGCTGACATCCTCCAATGCCATGTGTTACAGCTGACATCCTCCAATATCATGTGTAACAGTTGACATCCTCCAGTATCCTGTGTTACAACTGACATCCTCCAATATGATGTGTTACAGCTGACATCCTTCAATATCATGTGTTACAGCTGTCATCCCCCAACATCATGTGTTACAGCTGTCATCCCCCAATATCATGTGTTACAGCTGTCATCCCCCAATATCATGTGTTACAGCTGTCATCCCCCAATATCATGTGTTACAGCTGACATCCTTCAATATCATGTGTTATAGCTGACATCCTTCAATATCATGTGTTACAGCTGACGTCCTTCAATATCATGTGTTACAGCTGACGTCCTTCAATATCATGTGTTACAGCTGACATCCTCCAATATCATGTGTTACAGCTGACGTCCTTCAATATCATGTGTTACAGCTGACATCCTTCAATATCATGTGTTACAGCTGACATCCTTCAATATCATGTGTTACAGCTGACATCCTCCAATATCATGTGTTACAGCTGACATCCTCCAATATCATGTGTTACAGCTGACATCCTCCAATGCCCTTCAATATCATATGTTACAGCTGACATCCTTCAATATCATGTGTTACAGCTGACATCCTCCAATATCATGTGTTACAGCTGACATCCTTCAATATCATGTGTTACAGCTGACATCCATCAATATCATGTGTTACAGCTGACATCCTTCAATATCATGTGTTACAGCTGACATCATCCAATATCATGTGTTACAGCTGATATCCTTCAATATCATGTGTTACAGTTGGCATCCATAAATATCATGTGTTACAGCTGACATCCTCCAATATCATGTGTTACAGCTGACATCCTTCAATATCATGTGTTACAGCTGACATCCTCCAATATCATGTGTTACAGCTGACATCCTTCAATATCATGTGTTACAGCTGACATCATCCAATATCATGTGTTACAGCTGACATCCTCCAATGCCATGTGTTACAGCTGACATCCTCCAATATCATGTGTTACAGTTGACATCCTCCAGTATCCTGTGTTACAACTGACATCCTCCAATATGATGTGTTACAGCTGACATCCTTCAATATCATGTGTTACAGCTGTCATCCCCCAACATCATGTGTTACAGCTGTCATCCCCCAATATCATGTGTTACAGCTGTCATCCCCCAATATCATGTGTTACAGCTGTCATCCCCCAATATCATGTGTTACAGCTGACATCCTTCAATATCATGTGTTATAGCTGACATCCTTCAATATCATGTGTTACAGCTGACGTCCTTCAATATCATGTGTTACAGCTGACGTCCTTCAATATCATGTGTTACAGCTGACATCCTCCAATATCATGTGTTACAGCTGACGTCCTTCAATATCATGTGTTACAGCTGACATCCTTCAATATCATGTGTTACAGCTGACATCCTTCAATATCATGTGTTACAGCTGACATCCTTCAATATCATATGTTACAGCTGACATCCTCCAATATCATGTGTTACAGCTGACATCCTCCAATATCATGTGTTACAGCTGACATCCTTCAATATCATGTGTTACAGCTGACGTCCTTCAACATCATGTGTTACAGCTGACATCCATCAATATCACGTGTTACAGTTGACATCCTCCAACATCATGTGTTACAGCTGACATCCTTCAATATCATGTGTTACAGCTGACATCCTCCAATATCATGTGTTACAGCTGACATCCTTCAATATCATGTGTTACAGCTGACATCCATCAATATCATGTGTTACAGCTGACATCCTTCAATATCATGTGTTACAGCTGACATCATCCAATATCATGTGTTACAGCTGACATCCTTCAATATCATGTGTTACAGTTGGCATCCATCAATATCATGTGTTACAGCTGACATCCTCCAATATCATGTGTTACAGATGACATCCTTCAATATCATGTGTTACAGCTGACATCCTCCAATATCATGTGTTACAGCTGACATCCTTCAATATCATGTGTTACAGCTGACATCATCCAATATCATGTGTTACAGCTGACATCCTTCAATATCATGTGTTACAGCTGACATCCTCCAATATCATATGTTACAGCTGACATCCTCCAATATCATGTGTTACAGCTGACATCCTTCAATATCATGTGTTACAGCTGACATCCTTCAATATTATGTGTTACAGCTGACATCCTTCAATATCATGTGTTACAGTTGACATTCTCCAGTATCATGTGTTACAGCTGACATCCTTCGATATCATGTGTTACAGTTGACATCCTTCAATATCATGTGTTACAGCTGTCATCCTTCAATATCATGTGTTACAGCTGACATCCTTCAATATCATGTGTTACAGCTGACATCCTCCAATATCATATGTTACAGTTGACATCCTCCAATATCATATGTTACAGTTGACATCCTCCAATATCATATGTTACAGCTGACATCCTCCAATATCATATGTTACAGCTGACATCCTCCAATATCATATGTTACAGTTGACATCCTCCAATATCATATGTTACAGCTGACATCCTCCAATATCATATGTTACAGTTGACATCCTCCAATATCATATGTTACAGCTGACATCCTCCAATATCATATGTTACAGTTGACATCCATCAATATCACATGTTACAGTTGACATCCTTCAATATCATGTGTTACAGCTGACATCCATCAATATCATATGTTACAGTTGACATCCTCCAATATCGTATGTTACAGTTGACATCCTCCAATATCATATGTTACAGTTGACATCCTCCAATATCATATGTTACAGCTGACATCCATCAATATCATATGTTACAGTTGACATCCTCCAATATCATGTGTTACAGTTGACATCCATCAATATCATATGTTATGGTTGACATCCATCAATATCATATGTTACAGCTGACATCCTCCAATATCATATGTTACAGCTGACATCCATCAATATCATATGTTACAGTTGACATCCATCAATATCATATGTTACAGCTGACATCCTCCAATATCATATGTTACAGCTGACATCCTCCAATATCATATGTTACAGCTGACATCCTCCAATATCATATGTTACAGCTGACATCCTCCAATATCATATGTTACAGCTGACATCCTCCAATATCATATGTTACAGCTGACATCCTCCAATATCATATGTTACAGCTGACATCCTCTAATATCATATGTTACAGTTGACATCCTCCAATATCATTTGTTACAGCTGACATCCATCAATATCATGTGTTACAGCTGACATCCTCCAATGCCATATGTTACAGTTGACATCCTCCAATATCATGTGTTACAGTTGACATCCTCCAATATCATATGTTACAGCTGACATCCTTCAATATCATGTGTTACAGCTGACATCCTTCAACATCATGTGTTACAGCTGACATCCTCCAATAACATGCTCACTAAGTCATGGCATTTGCATCTGTGAAATCTCCAGTGTAGAGATGGCAACTGACAAAACACCATGGTTGGGTCCCATGATTGTTGAATACTGTCACCACTACAAACACACCCGCATAACTTTCTGGTGTCAGACAGGGGGGGGCACATATCTATGTTCAACATGTCTGATCTCCCTTCACCGACACTGCCGCAGCCTTGTCACTCAAACATTCTGTGAAATCCTCTCCTGGTAGTCTAAAACATTCATGAGTTCACTCTTCTCACCACACACCTTCTTAAAGTTCTCATGTCAACACTAGATATCCTGGAGGCAGCAGGTGAGATACCAGATATCCCAGCACAGCAGGTGAGATACCAGATATCCCAGCACAGCAGGTGAGATACCAGATATCCCAGCACAGCAGGTGAGATACCAGATATCCCAGCACAGCAGGTGAGATACCAGATATCCTGGCACAGCAGGTGAGAAACCAAATTTCCAGGAACAGCAGATGAGATACCAGATATCCCAGCACAGCAGGTGAGATACCAGATATCCTGGGAAAGCAGGTGAGATACCAGATATCCAGGAGCAGCAGGTGAGATACCAGATATCCCGGCACAGCAGGTGAGATACCAGATATCCTGGGAAAGCAGGTGAGATACCAGATATCCAGGAACAGCAGGTGAGTTACCAGATATCTCGGCACAGCAGGTGAGATACCAGATATCCTGGGAAAGCAGGTGAGATACCAGATATCCAGGAACAGCAGGTGAGATACCAGATATCTCGGCACAGCAGGTGAGATAATAGTTGTGTTCAATTCACTCTTGTGATAAGGAGAATAAAACCTTTCACGAAATCATTCAGAAGCAGACCATATAATGTTTCAGAAACTCCACGAAGGAGTGAGCAGATGAAGAGTCTTCCAATCATCAGAAGAAGTCCTCCAGTGTCCCATGTTTTGGCCTTTTGACCTTCTGAACACTTTCTAAGGGCAGGTCACCCATGGTCACCACTCCTGATTTGTTAAGATTTAATCACTGGTTAACTGCAGCAGGACTGGCAGAGTAAAAAGATAGGCGCTACACCTAAAGAAATCAGATGTGAGAGCAAGAGGGTGCCAATGGAACAAACGAATTAACCAACTTTATTTTCAAAGGGTGAAAAATTAGGCATGCAGCCTAACTTATATTCAACACTTTCAATCACTTATCTTTCACATAGCAATTATATTTTATCTGTAAAGAATGTGAAGTTTATATAGCAACATACATCTATGAACAGGAAAGGACTCACAGATGACAATAAAGACAATTGTACATCTCTGTGGAATGACAATGGCTAGTTTCATTTTTGTGCCCTGAACTGCAAGCTGTTTCTCTCTGTAACACCATGGCAGAACTTTGAAGTTGAAGATAATGATGAGAGGAAACAGTGTCTAAGCAAATCAAGTGTTAGGCCTTTGTTGAATGATGTTTCCCACAGTTTCTTCCACAAACATTCAGAAGTTAATGCAGGGCCCACTTGAGGCTGGCCGGCTCCTGAGTCAGGAAGGTCAGAAACAAGTCCTGCAATGGGTGGCCACTGAACCTGGACCACTCCTGTGTTCAGATAGTGCACTAACCACTAGAGACAACAGACAGCCAGAGAGAGCTGCAGGATCTAGGGACTACTCACACTGTATGATATAGGCTGCCAGCTGGATGGACTCTTCAGGGGAACACAGCAAGCGTCCGTGATGAAGATCTCGCCTCAGCTGCAGAAACAGGTAATACCTGCGCCCACACAAAAAAACAATTGAAACATCAATGAAATATCTGTGGCCACACAAATAAACAATTGAAACATCAATGTAATACCTGAACCCACACAAATAAACAATTGAAACATCAATGAAATATCTGTACCCACACTAATAAACAATTGAAACATCAATAAAATACCTGTACCCACACTAATAAACAATTGAAACATCAATGTAATACCTGTACCCACACTAATAAACAATTGAAACATCAATGTTATAGATGTGCCCACACACAAATAAACAATTGAAACATCAATGAAATACCTGTGCCCATGCAAAATAAACAATGGAAACATTAATTAAATATCTGTGCTCATGCAAATAATCAAGTGAAACATCAATGTTATACATGTGCCCACACACAAATAAACAATTGAAAAATCAATAAAATACCTGTGGCCATAAAACAATTGAAACATCAACTTAATACATGTGGCTACATAAATCAAATAGAAACATCCCCATTCCATTACTGACTGCTGTTCTCTGCAGGATATCATCTACAGGAGAGGCGGAGTCAACAACACAAGCTGAACCCTCTGACCCTACTGGTATCTACACATCCTGGAGAAGCCAGGAAACCAGCACTGCAGTCATGACAGTCTCCAGGTGCACTTGCACTGTTCAACAGCCCTGACAGTCTCCAGGTGCACTTGCACCGTTTAACAGCCCTGACAGTCTCCAGGTGCACTTGCACCGTTTAAGAACCCTGACAGTCTCCAGGTGCACTTGCACCGTTTAACAGCCCTGACAGTCTCCAGGTGCACTTGTACCGTTTAACAGCCCTGACAGTCTCCAGGTGCACTTGCACCGTTTAACAGCCCTGACAGTCTCCAGGTGCACTTGCACCGTTTAACAGCCCTGACAGTCTCCAGGTGCACTTGCACCGTTCAACAGCCCTGACAGTCTCCAGGTGCACTTGCACCGTTTAACAGCCCTGACAGTCTCCAGGTGCACTTGCACCATTCAACAGCCCTGACAATCTCCAGGTGCACTCGCACCATTTAACAGCCCTGACAGTCTCCAGGTGCACTTGCACCGTTTAACAGCCCTGACAGTCTCCAGGTGCACTTGCACCGTTTAACAGCCCTGACAGTCTCCAGGTGCACTTGCACCATTCAACAGCCCTGACAGTCTCCAGGTGCACTTGCACCATTTAACAGCCCTGACAGTCTCCAGGTGCACTTGCACCGTTTAACAGCCCTGACAGTCTCCAGGTGCACTTGCACCGTTTAACAGCCCTGACAGTCTCCAGGTGCACTTGCACCGTTCAACAGCCCTGACAGTCTCCAGGTGCACTTGCACCGTTCAACAGCCCTGTCTAAACCTAGCATTTTAGGATTTTCTTTGGGGGGGGGGGGGGATTGCTTTTTTAAAATGCTATTATATCATAAAAGCCCCTCAGTCTGCAGTAACCTTATATGTGTATGTATTAGGGACCTGGGTTTGTTACATTTATATAAATGCTTTAAATGTGTAGATATATTTATTAGGGACCTGGGTTTGTTACATTTATATAAATGCTTTAAATGTGTAGATATATTTATTAGGGACCTGGGTTTGTTACATTTATATAAATGCTTTAAATGTGTAGATATATTTATTAGGGACCTGGGTTTGTTACATATTTATATAAATGCTTTAAATGTGTAGATATATTTATTAGGGACCTGGGTTTGTTACATTTATATAAATGCTTTAAATGTGTAGATATATTTATTAGGGACCTGGGTTTGTTACATTTATATAAATGCTTTAAATGTGTAGATATATTTATTAGGGACCTGGGTTTGTTACATATTTATATAAATGCTTTAAATGTGTAGTTATATTTATTAGGGACCTGGGTTTGTTACATTTATATAAATGTGTAGATATATTTATTATGGACCTGGGTTTTTTAAGTGTTTTGTGTGTGGTGTGTATGTGTGGGTACTGGTGGGAAGAAACTCCATAGTTTTTCTGTGAAAGGATACCAGGGTAAAAGGGTCATATTGTTACAAGTAGCTGTGACATTTACTGATGGGAAATCAGGTCCATTAGTTTCTGAGGTTATACATTTCAAACTCACAGCAAAGTAAATGATTTGTTTTTGTGCGTGATAATATCATGAGACAAATGAGTGCAGAAAAGGCTGTGACAGCTTGGAAGACTAAAGTTTTGTGTGTGATAATATCATGAGACAAATGAGTGCAGAAAAGGCTGTGACAGCTTGGAAGACTAAAGTTGTGTGTGTGATAATATCATGAGACAAATGAGTGCAGAAAAGGGCTGTGACAGCTTGGAAGACTAGAATTGTCTGTGGTCAAAAGAGGCAGAGAATGCTGGATGGGGCAATAGTGTAATAGAAAAAATTATTTGTGGAGGAACATGATGACCTGTGCCAACCGACATGGCACATCATGATAATGACAATCAATCTGTATCTTGTATAGATGAGCTTCTATTATGCAGCCCTTATTAGTTGATGCTGCTGTGTCATGCCAGTACTGTGGGATTACCCCTGCTGGAACAAGTTACTGTCTCACTGAGGACACACAGGCACATCTGTTGACACTGTTATAGACACAGAGGCACATCTGTTGACACTGTTATAGACATAGAGGCACATCTGTTCACACTGTTATAGACACACACAGGCACATCTGTTCACACTGTTATAGACATAGAGGCACATCTGTTCACACTGTTATAGACACACAGGCACATCTGTTCACACTGTTATAGACACACACAGGCACATCTGTTCACACTGTTATAGACATAGAGGCACATCTGTTCACACTGTTATAGACACACAGGCACATCTGTTCACACTGTTATAGACACACACAGGCACATCTGTTGACACTGTTATAGACACAGAGGCACATCATTTCACACTGTTATAGACACAGAGGCACATCTGTTGACACTGTTATAGACACAGAGGCACATCTGTTGACACTGTTATAGACATAGAGGCACATCTGTTGACACTGTTATAGACACAGAGGCACATCTGTTGACACTGTTATAGACACACACAGGCACATCTGTTGACACTGTCATAGACACAGAGGCAACAAAAACACACCCATGACACTGCTCACAATCAAAATGAGATGAGGTCATACCTGGTAATCTCTTCATGCAGTTTCATGGGATCTTCAGGGTAGAACTTGACACGGAAGCAAAGAACCATCTTACTGAGTCCTGAAACCAAATTCTAACAATGAACACAAGCAATAGGATAACCTCTACACTCAAGCCAATATAACACACACACACACACACATACAGAGAGAGAGAGAGAGAGAGAGAGAGAGAGAGAGAGAGAGCGGGGAGGGAGGGAGAGAGAGAGAGAGGAGGAGGAGAGAGAGAGAGAGGAGAGAGAGAGCATCTGGCTTCCTGGCTCATGGTTTCTATGTATATTCTATCTTCTCATAGATAATCTCACAGAGATGTCTTCCTGTTGTACCCTGACATGAGGACACAGTTAGCCCCTTCACAGATGCAGATCTTGTGTGAAGCCAAAATACAATGTCTTTATTTGCCAAGTCCACATCTTTGGAGTGACTCAGTAGAAACAAACCCAGGACTTCCCTATCAACAGGCTGGTGTAAGAAAACCCAGGCCATAATGACTTTTTGCGCTTCCACACTGTTCACTCACTCCCAGAGTGCCCTCACAACATCTAGCTTGTCATACATCAGTTCACCACCAGGTGGTGCAGAACCAGCCAGTCTGTCTGCCTGCTAGTTTCCCAACACACCAGGATAACCTGGATAAAATATTTTTAAAATGCTCACTACCCAGGGCCTCTAAAGCGATGCTTGCATTGTGGTTTACAGCTAGGCTGCAATTTCTGCACCTTTAACTAAACACATTTGATGTCAGTGAGTGGCTCAATGAGTCATCTGTTACAACATGCTGGTTAAGGGGCAGTGAGTGGCTCAATGAGTCATCTGTTACAACATGTTTGTTAAGGGGCAGTGAGTGGCTCAATGAGTCATCTGTTACAACATGCTTGTTAAGGGGCAGTGAGTTCTCAATGAGTCATCTATTACAACATGCTGGTTAAGGGGCAGTGAGTGGCTCAATGAGTCCTCTGTTTCAATATGTTTGTTAAGGGGCAGTGAGTGGCTCAATGAGTCATCTGTTACAACATGCTGGTTAAGGGGCAGTGAGTGGCTCAATGAGTCATCTGTTACAACATGCTGGTTAAGGGGCAGTGAGTTCTCAATGAGTCATCTATTACAACATGCTGGTTAAGGGGCAGTGAGTGGCTCAATGAGTCATCTGTTACAACATGCTGGTTAAGGGGCAGTGAGTGGCTCAATGAGTCATCTGTTACAACATGCTGGTTAAGGGGCAGTGAGTGGCCCAATGAGTCATCTGTTACAACATGCTGGTTAAGGGGCAGTGAGTGGCTCAATTAGTCATCTGTTACAACATGCTGGTTAAGGGGCAGTGAGTGGCTCAATGAGTCATCTGTTACAACATGTTTGTTAAGGGGCAGTGAGTGGCTCAATGAGTCATCTGTTACAACATGCTGGTTAAGGGGCAGTGAGTGGCTCAATGAGTCATCTGTTACAACATGTTTGTTAAGGGGCAGTGAGTGGCTCAATGAGTCATCTGTTACAACATGCTTGTTAAGGGGCAGTGAGTGGCTCAATGAGTCATCTGTTACAACATGTTTGTTAAGGGGCAGTGAGTGGCTCAATGAGTCATCTGTTACAACATGCTGGTTAAGGGGCAGTGAGTGGCTCAATGAGTCATCTGTTACAACATGTTTGTTAAGGGGCAGTGAGTGGCTCAATGAGTCATCTGTTACAACATGCTGGTTAAGGGGCAGTGAGTGGCCCTAAAACCCAATGGGGATGCCAGTTTTAAACCACAGTGACATGACAAGTACACAGCAAAGTGACAACTACACAGTGATATGACAACCATGCACTGACATGACAAGTATGCAGTGACATGACAAGTGAGCAGTAACATGACAAGTACACAGTGACATGACAAGTACACAGTGACATGACAAGTACACAGCACCGTGACAACTACACAGTGATATGACAACCATGCACTGACATGACAAGTATGCAGTGACATGAAAAGTAAGCAGTGACATGACAAGTACACAGTGACATGACAAGTACACAGCACGTGACAACTACACAGTGACATGACAAGTATGCAGTGACATGACAAGTACACAGCACCGTGACAACTACACAGTGACATGACAACCATGCACTGACATGACAAATATGCAGTGACATGACAAGTAAGCAGTGACATGACAAGTACACAGTGACATGACAAGTACACAGCACTGTGACAACTACACAGTGATATGACAACCATGCACTGACATGACAAGTATGCAGTGACATGACAAGTAAGCAGTTACGTGACAACTACACAGTGACATGACAAGTACACAGCGACATGACAAGTACACAGTGACATGACAAGTACACAGCACCGTGACAACTACACAGTGATATGACAAGTAAGCAGTGACATGACAAGTATGCAGTGACATGACAAGTACGCAGTTACGTGACAACTACACAGTGACATGACAAGTACACAGTGACATGACAAGTACACAGCACCGTGACAACTACACAGTGATATGACAACCATGCACTGACATGACAAGTATGCAGTGACATGACAAGTAAGCAGTGACATGACAAGTACGCAGTTACGTGACAACTACACAGTGACAAGACAACTACACAGTGACATGACAAGTACACAGTGACATGACAAGTACATAGTGACATGACAAGTACACAGTGACATGACAAGTACACAGTGACATGACACGTACACAGTGACATGACAAGTACACAGCACTGTGACAACTACACAGTGATATGGCAACCATGCACTGACATGACAAGTATGCAGTGACATGACAAGTACACAGTGACATGACAAGTATGCAGTGACATGACAAGTATGCAGTGACATGACAATTATGCAGTGACATGACAAGTATGTAGTCACATGACAAGTATGTAGTCACATGACAAGTACACAGTGACATGACAAGTACACAGTGACATGACAAGTAAGCAGTGACATGACAAGTAAGCAGTGACATGACAAGTACACAGTGACATGACAAGTACACAGTGACATGACAAGTTAGCAGTGACATGGCAAGTTAACAGTGACATGACAAGTAAGCAGTGACATGACAAGTATGCAGTGACATGACAAGTATGTAGTGACATGACAAGTATGCAGTGACATGACAAGTACGTAGTGACATGACAAGTACGCAGTTACGTGACAAGTACGCAGTTACATGACAAGTACGTAGTGACATGACAAGTCCGCAGTGACATGACAAGTACGTAGTGACATGACAAGTCCGCAGTGACATGACAAGTACGCAGTGACCTGACAAGTACACAGTGACATGACAAGTACACAGTGACATGACAAGTATGCAGTGACATGACAAGTACATATCAACATGACAAATATGTAGTGACATGACAAGTACATAGTGACATTACAAGTATGTAGTGACATGACAAGTACGTAGTGACATGACAAGTAGTAGTGACATGACAAGTAAGCAGTTACTTGATAAGTAAACACCAACATGACACGTAAAAGGGACTTGACAAGTAAAATCAACTTGACAAGTGTGCAGCAATGTGGCACAAGTGCACAGCAATGTGGCCAGTGTGCAGCAATGTGGTAAGTGTGCAGCAATGTGGCACAAGTGCACGGCAACATGACAAGCACGCAGTGATGTGGCAAGTGCACAGTTACGCAGCAAGCGCAGTGACATGGCAAGATCACAGTGACGTGGCATGTGCACAATGATGTGACAACCGCACAGTGACTTGGCAACCACACAGTGATGTTGCAGGTACACATTGACATGATAGTACATAGTGACATGATAACCACAGTTACATGACAATTACAGTGATGTGACAAGTATGCAGTAACATAACAAGTGCACAGTGACATGACAAGTACACCATGACAGGTACAGTGGCATGACAACCACAGCACTGTGACAACCAGTTAACCAAAGTAACATGACAAGTACACAGGGCATGACAACGACACAGGGTATGACAACCACAGCAACAGGACAAGTACACAGTGACATGACATCCACAGTGATGTGACAACCATAGTGACCCGATATCCTCAGAAATGCCTTAAACCCACAGCCACCCCAAAAAAAGAGATGACTTAACCAAAGAGTAGCATCAACCCCAGGGGCAGACCACTATGCAGATGCTGTAGCCAGAGATGCATCAACCATCTTCTCAAAACTAATTTCTTTATGATGGAAATAACAGCCGTCTACTTACCTTTCTTTCTCTCTTTCTCTCTCTCTCTCTCTCTCTCTCTCTCTCTCTTTTTTCCTTCCTCCATCATGCTCTCCCTCCTCTTCCTCTATTCCCATCTCTATTTGCTTCCCCTCCCCTTTCTCTCTCTCTCGCTCATGTACTAGCACATGTGCCATCACCCACCCAAAGAAAGAGAAAGAACGCAGGAAAGGTGAAATGAACACATTTGTACAATCAACTCTCTGCACAGCTGGCCAGCTCCGGGAGCTAGCGGTGACGAAATGAATTCATCGATGACAAGTCCCCATCGATACAGCATCTGTGTAGAAATTCTTGTGGCAACAGCTGCAAGTTTCAGCTATTACCTGGTCACTTTCTTCATCTCTTGTTTCAGTGAAATTATGAAACATTCATACATTTTTCAGGTATGACAGTTTCAATGGCTGTTAAATTTCCCACTGCAGGAATATTTTGATACATCTGAAACCTTGTCTCCAGACTGCAACAATTTGTCTCCAATTAATTCCCTACAGCACGAGTCTCCAACATTTTTCAAAGGCAAACATTCCAGAATGATCAATAAACAATATCTGATGTGTGTTGAGAACTGTGAGGCAGCTCTGCTGGAATGTTGGATAATAGTGTGATGACTCAATGATCCAGTTTGATCTGTAGGTACAAGCCTGAGCTAGGCTTGCTAGCATGTAACAGGTCAAAGACTGAATGAATTTCTCCACTTCAACAATTTTGTGATTTTTATTAAATGTATGTCATACTATTAATGATGATGCTACTGGCAAAGCCTCGAACCACAGACTTCCAGGGCTGGAAATGTGCAAATCTGAATCATTCAACAAGTAGAAAATCTGAAAT